AATCCATCCACAACCCCATCCCAAATCACAACACAACCACCGCTGCGGCACCAGCACCGCCTCCAACACCACCTCAACACCACCACCACTACCACTTGTAAAAACCATCCCAAATCACTGTTGCTGGCGTTAGCTCAGATGGCAGCTTTGTGGCACCACAAACCGCCACCACTACCACCCAAATCACACCACAAACCGCCACGACAACGCAAACACCACCAAAAAATTGAATCAAAAAGTACCATAGCCACAGCCACACCAACACCACTGTTGAGGAGGGAGAGAAAACGAGGGCGCTGTAAAATTATTATCCCCAAATTTAGGCAAGAATCATGGCTAAGACCCAAACCCTAATTTTTGTTTACGAGTACTCAAAATTATAACGAAGCAGGAATTTTATAGTGAATTAGAACACCTATCAACACGAGAATTGCGTTTCTCTTCTTCAGAGAGCTGGACAGGCATTCCAAAGCGCTCGAATCTCTTCACCTTCTTCTGAACATCAGTAGCCGATGCGACGCCGTCAACATCATCAGCTTTCCTAGCTTCCGTGGTCGGCACAACTTATGGGGAAGATTACTTATTCAGTTGGTGAGACGGGAGGGAGGGGAAGGAGAGGAGGGAGAAGGGGAGGCGACGGGAATGGTGGAGAGGGAATTGAAAAATTAGGTTAAGAATGAGGTTTTAATATACTACCTAATTTTTGCAAAAATAAACTTAAAACCTAATTTTTAAAACGTTAAACTTGATTTTTAAAAAGGTCAAGCTAAACCCCTGGTTTTATGTAATTTTCCCTATATAAAAGAGTGAGTTTGATTTTTACTATTCATGTCAATTGGCCGCCTAAGCCGAGCCAAGTTGAGTGAGCCGCATTAGCCGAGCAAAGCATCTTTTTCTTCTCCATTTGTATACACTACCTCCCATACCTCATTATTTACTCCAAGCAAACGTCTTTTTCTTCTCTATTTGTACACTCTACCTCCCATACCTCTTTATTTACTTCATTCTCAACTTGTCCTCTCATTTATGCAACATTTCTCGTGAATTCCTCCTATACACATACACTGCATATATAGGGAATCTTGACGATCGCTTCCAAATTGATGGAGACCCATATGTGCGCCATGCGGAGTAATGTTGGGCAGAGGTTGGGTGTTGCCGAAATGTGATTTTTCGACCGTTTTTGCTTCTGTGCGCTGACTTTGGAGTGGATTTCCGGCCAAATCTACCTAAGTTATGGTCGGTTGCTGTTTGGGATATGTAGAGGGCAGTGTGGTCTTCATGTTGGTGTGTTGGCTCGGTGGACATGGAACTACTGTTGTTTTCAATTTCTTATTTTCAAAAATCTTTGGCTGCAAACGTATGTAAGCATTGTGATGATCCTGATTATATCTTGTTGTTAGTATTCTACAACAATACGATTAGAAGAAAAAGTTAATATAAAAATAAAAAATATTAAGGAGAATTTCTTCGCAAAGCACGAAGAATCCTCTCCGTTCAGAACGGAGAGCCTCCCGTTCGCGCATGGACACGGACCAACAGGTCCGTTTCTGAATGGATCAAAATGTCCGTTCAGCACGGACCAACAGGTCATAGCTGAACACGGACCAACAGGTCATAGCTGAACAGACCTGTTGGTCCGTTCAGAAACGGACCATTTTGAGTCCGTTCAGCACGGACCTCTTGTTGGTCCGTCCTGAACGGACTCAAAATGGTCAGTTCAGCACAGACCTAAGAAAAGTAATCAAGTTGTGTTAAAGGAGTGGTCAAAATTTGGAATTAAGGACTGTGTTAAAGAGTTAATTACATTGTAGAATTTGTGGTGGATTCAAATTTTGGAATTCCAGGGGCAATCACAGTGAAAAAAAAAGCACCAGCAAGAGTTTTTCTTGGAGAGTATTACCATTGAGGGTTTGCATGTGGTCCAGTTCATTTTTCCTGCAATTCATGGGTTTAGTCCAGGAAATACCATCCTGGAAAGAAAATATTTTTCTCTAAATCAGGTATTAATTTTATTTTATTTTTTTCACTTTTTTGTTTGATTTTCAATCTGCCAGCAATTGAAGATTTGACACACTAAAGTCCTGTAAAATCTTCATATAAGACCATGCTGTCAAACAAAAAATTCTAAGGTTGACTTATTTTGGAGACAAACTACTGCTGAATTGGAGTAGTTTTGGCAAAAAGGAAAAGTGGGAAAAAAACATCGTTAAAGAATTTTACTTTCCTGATAGATTTTTTTCTCTATTTTTGTGCTAAGAAGTGGATTGGAATTAATGAGAACATTGCATCTTTCCATGCTCTTCCAATTTTGTAATCCTTAATTGCATTGTAAATTGGATGAAAGTTTGGTAAAATGGTAATTTTGATTATAATCTTCTGGAGGCTTAAGAATAGGAAGATAGATTTTATGGCCATTTGCATTTAATTCTCGATTTCATCATTAATGTCCTTTTTACTGTGAAATTTGTTATGTGGCAAATGATTAGATTGAATCCTCTTCTTTTGAGCTGTGTGCACGACTCTTTAGCAAGAGACGTGTAACGCCCCAAATTCTTAGAACTCGAAGCGTTAATAGAAAAATTTATCTTCTTTGTTCGAACCCTTAAATGTTAACCAAAATAAGTTTTAAACGATAAGAGTTTTGAAATCTGAAACCTATAGAAAGATGAAATGGAAATTTTTTTTGTTCATATAGATTTGGACAACTTGGTGAAATTTTATTTTGAAAAACATTTGGAGAAAATTCAGCAAAATACCGGTTGCGCAGCAGCGAAAAGGAAAATATGTTTGACCTAGCAAACGTTGTCAAATATTTGTAAAATTTTAACTGAGACTATAGCATTCATACATGTACAACATATAAAAATTTGGGGTCTGGACGAAAATGTTTGAAGCATGAAAATACTGCACGACTACGCTGGACACAAAATCCGACACAGTCCCAACACAGTTTACTAAAACGGCATTACTTTTTCTCTAAATGCTATTTTAAGGTAATTCGAAAGATCACTATTAGAAGACTCATAGGCCTTTCAAACGCCACTGATTTCACTCTAAAACATGTAGTATAGCCCAAGTTATACCATTTTCAAATTTAATGGCAGAATCTGAAATTCAAAACAGCAGTAGATAAACTTCATGCATTGTCAATTCAACATTTGTAAATTATCGTTGACATGGAAAGTACATGAAAACTGAACAAGATAAACATTAAGAACATTGTTAAGAGTGTCATCTAAATATTTATAAAATGGTTTACACAACCGGAAATTTTTACTAGAAAGTTGAAAGCATTTCAAATTTGTCGAGCACTCGCCACCATGCCAAACCCTGCCATGCCTCGATTTAACTTGTGAAATTTTAATAGGGGTGAGTATCATAAATAATACTCAGTAGGAAGACACTTATGTAATTGGTAAAAATAAATGTATTTTCAGAAATGCAAACTTTGGTTATTTGTGTCACCGTCATTCTCTAGCAAACCAGTGATCAGTCAGTCCGCTTATTCTCGAGTTTTGATAACTCGTTCTCGAGTTTGATAACTCGTTTCATAATCTCTTTATCTCTTATTTGAACCACCCAAAGGGTGCTTCCATCATCAGTAACACAATAACACGTTAATGCAAACCGAAAACAAATCATTTTATTCTACTTTACAAAAGTGTCGTAAAACACCCTTACCTTGAATGTTTGGAGTTTGAATAATCTTTGATGACCAAATTTGTAAAGAAAAAATGCAACGTGCTCCTTAGCTTATCCTTCAAATATTTTTCAAATTCAAAAGTGCTTTATGACTATGAGAAAGAGGGCAAAACAACTTTATGTACAAGTATAATAGTTTGGAAAATGAAATCACTTTGTAAGTGCAGTGTATGTGTATGTAATTGTAAGAAATGAAGTTATGTTTTGTTTTAAAAAGAAAACTCTTAACATATAGAAAATACATACATGTAACTCCAATGAAACAAAAAGGCTTTTCGGTTAACTCTTAAATTTCCAAACGTATTCCATGTAAACTAAAAGTTTAATGGGATTAATGATGGGTATAAGTGGTGAATTAATTAAGTTTTTAAGTGGTGGAAATGATTGTGTAGGTTACTCTTGTGCAAATGAAATGATTTCTCTTCTCTTTTTTTTTTTATACGCTGAAAATTGGAACCAAACATAGGAAAAAGAAAAATATTAATGTAAAACGTGTGTCGTCAAAATAATGTAATTGAATAAATTAAAGAAATTTGTCATTTAAAAGAGATTTCAACGACTTGCAAAATTTTAAGACAAGCGCACACAACTTTACTATTGTGACCAAAAATTTTAATTCTTAGGAATGGTCGTAGTGACGTCATAATATAATTCAAATTATTTTCGAGTTATACAAGAAAATTTTATTTGAAAAAAATATAACATTTTTTTTTCTTGGTCGCTACAAGACATCTATGCTTGTAGTGTTAAAATTTTGACTCAATGGATTCGAATGTTTTTTGCCTGAAATCTTGTTAACAACTTGAATTTCTGAAGCCACGATGAATCACAAATCCGTTCTATAGCTATATGATCCAACCATTTCGTTATGTAATGCATAGCTGGAAATCTTCAAGTCGAATTTATGGTTGTGTGAAATTTATGTTCTTTCAGGGTATATTTTCAGCAAGTTTAAATGTTTCTTTTTGATAAATTAAATTATTTTTTTAGTAAAAGAAAAATATATTCCTACCATAAAAAGTCAGAATAAAATATGGAGATGAATGGAAAAAGATTGTTACCTTAGGGAAAGAGGTATAAAAGAAGTTGCATTTAGTTTTCTTCCTCGTGTGCAATAGAAGCCCACCTATTATCTTCTGATTCTAAACCACCTTTACCATACACAAGGTACTTCTACAGAAACCTTTGGTCTCATCGCAATCGCATTCAGGTATGACCCTTTACGTGGATGTGAGCATTTACATCTATTAATATATTGTCTTGTAAAATAACTCTTCTTGATCAAGTTCTCGCGGGCTCGATTAACAGCATCTGTAAATTTATGATTTTTTCATATTATTATTGTTTCTTATAGCACAATTATCTAATTTTATGCATTTCCATTGAAGCTAACTTTATGGATCTACATATAATGTTTGGGATTCAGTCATTGTTAAATCTATAATAGAAAAACTCTTTATATTTTCCCTCTTTTTTTGGTCCAAGAAATGATGTCATTTGACTTTTTTGTATTTTACGTTTGCTTGTAAAAAAGCGAAAGTAAAATAGTGATATGTTTACATTGGTTGAATAAAAAAATATAAGGATAAGGCTTAGATTAAACAAAAAAACATGCCCAATGGATTCTCAGAATGCAATGAGAGATCTCTCCTTGCAGCAAAATGGAGAGAATCTCTCCTTGCTGCAAGGAGAATCTCTCTTTGCAGCACGGAGAGATATATCGCCATGCTGTACGGAGAGATGAGATTTTTTTTCCTTTTTAAGAGTGGGTTTGTTTTTCACTTTGGTTTTTATTTGCATTGTTCATTTCATTTTTTTGGAGTGGTCTTCTTTTACTGTCTATATGAACCGTGCTTTCCAATGTTGTCTTGAAACATTTAGTAACTTATAAGTTTTTTTTATGTAACTAATGTTTGACATAAATATTTTTTTTTATACATACTCTTTTACGTAGTCAACTATATCATGGCAAGTGCCTTGCACGTGCTTCTCACTAGTTGTTAGTATAAAATTGGGTAACTTACAAAAATGCCCTTAAAATTTGGGGCCTTTTGAAAAATCATATGAAAAGTATTTTGAAAGTAAAAAATACCGTGTCACTTTTTATTTATTAAAAAGTGACACAATGTTTCTTTTTAAAATTAAGTATTACTTTTTTATTGAAGAATGACTTACAATCTCACTTTTATTAAAAAGTGATAGGAAAAAAGTGACAAACATTATAAAAATGCACAAAAATTCTCAAAAAAGTGAAAAACATTCAAAAAGTGGCAAAACACTAATCAAAACCTTAGAATCAGTTTAATAAAGTGACACGACTAAAAAAGTGACAAAACACCAATCAAAACTTTGAAATCAATTCAATAAAGTGACATAAATTATTAAAAAATGATAAAAACTCAAAAAAGTGACAGCACTAAAAAAAGTGATGAAATCCCGATCACTTTTTGGGTGAATTGTATTACTTTTAATAAAAGTGACATTGTATCATTTTTTTAATAAAAAATTAAATGTAATGTCACTTTTAATACAACTTTTTAATAAAAAAAATGATATATAATATCATTTTCATTAAAAAGTGAAGTGAAATAAAATGTTACTTTTATTACAAAGTGATATTTGTCACTAAAAAGCGACATAAAAAAAAGTAACAAACAATAAAAAAGGTGATAGAAAAAAGTGACGCAAATTCAAAAAAAGTGACAAATGTTCAGAAATCAAAGGAAAGAGTAGGTTGTCCATCACCATTCATAGCACATCAACACTTGAATCAAAATAGAAGTGATGGACGTCTTTAGAAAGTCTCTCACTCTAAAAGTCTGTAAATTTTCCCCACTCCTCTATATCTCGCAGTGGGTATGTGTGTGTGTTGGGGAGAAAACATGGGGGCTTTGGCTTTTCAATAGACGAGGAGGTGGTGGATTTCCATCATTTCTTCTCAAGAAAATTCACAATATCAGAGATTAACAAGAATAGTTCAGAGAATTCGAAGAGTTATTGTGCAGATCTTTCAACTCCTAACCTACCCCCATTGCCATCAAATATATACGTACATTTTACATATGCATATATTTTGTAGATTAGATTTTCAGAAAATTGATTCCTAATAATTTTGCTCTTTCTTCTCGCTGCGCTTTTCTTTCTTTGTATAATTTATCAAAACCTTAGAATCAATTTAATAAAGTGACAGAAATAAAAAAAAGTGACAAAACACCAATCAAAACTTTGAAATCAATTCAATAAAGTGACATAAATTATTAAAAAATGATAAAAACTCAAAAAAGTGACAGCACTCAAAAAAGTAATGAAATCCCGATCACTTTTTGGGTGAATTGTATCACTTTTTAATAAAAGTGACATTGTATTACTTTTTTAATAAAAAATTAAATGTAATGTCACTTTTAATACAACTTTTTAATTAAAAAAATGATATATAATATCATTTTCATTAAAAAGTGAAGTGAAATAAAATGTTACTTTTATTACAAAGTGATATTTGTCACTAAAAAGCGACATAAAAAAAAGGTAACAAACAATAAAAAAGATGATAGAAATAAGTGACGCAAATTCAAAAAAAGTGACAAACGTTTAGAAATCAAAGGAAAGAGTAGGTTGTCCATCACCATTCATAGCACATCAACACTTGAATCAAAATATAAGTGATGGACGTCTTTAGAAAGTCTCTCACTCCAAAAGTCTGTAAATTTTCCCCACTCGTCTATATCTCGTAGTGGGTATGTGTGTGTGTTGGGGAGAAAACATGGGGGCTTTGGCTTTTCAATGGACGAGGAGGTGGTGGATTTCCATCATTTCTTCTCAAGAAAATTCACAATATCAGAGATTAGTAAGAATAGTTTAGAGAATTCGAAGAGTTATTGTGCAGATCTTTCAACTCCTAACCTACCCCCATTGCCATCAAATATATACATACATTTTACATATGCATATATTTTCTAGATTAGATTTTCAGAAAATTGATTCCTAATAATTTTGCTCTTTCTTCTCGTTGCGCTTTTCTTTCTTTGTATAATTTTCTGCCACGGGCTGAAGCTATTTCCCATCTCATATGTCTTTGTTCTATTTAATACGGAATGGGAATCCTCCAACATCCTCTATTAATCAATTCTCTTGATTTTGGGCCGTATTTAGCCTAATTTCCTCTATAAAATTTGGGTTTCTTTGATATCTACTTTTCAGGGGAAAAAAGGGGGGTATTTTTTGATAGATAAAACATTGAAGCAAATTGTTACCGACTCAGTGACTTGTGCTCGAGTTATCAAAAGTAAAATTTGATCAGGGATGGGATGACAAAATATTTCCTTGTTAAACCGATTGAGTAAAAATAAATAAATAATGGATTCAATCGCTCTGCGACTACCGTAAATAGTATTACGAGGCGAGGCGTTAATGGACTGTGGACTTAAAAATTAATTAATAAACTAATCGGAAGATAAATGAGGATATTTTTTTATCTCACCAGCTTCCCAAAAATCATCTCAAAAAATCTAGACACCTTTTTTAAGTTAGTTCGAGATCTTTATTATTAATGCGATTGAGCTTGAAGCACCAAATTTGAAGCCATAATGCTAAACACAGCTTTTGTGCCGATAGATATTAGAGCTACAAAGTGGATTCAAAATCTCAGTTCTAATCTGATGATAATTTTTTATCCTGTTCGATTGAGGGCAGAAGATCAATTCTATTCAAAATCTTTTATTTAGCCCCTGTTTGTTTCACATTATTAGAAGAATTTTTACCGTTGCAAAATGGATCAGCCGCAATCTTTGACTATCTTGTCTCGAGTGGGACCCACTTTTTTAAAAAAAGGTCAAAAATTTCATTTTCATGTACAAAATAATGTGAAACGAACATGGGCTTATATACGATTGTTCATTTTTCTATGTAAAACTCCTTTTGATAGTCGTGTGGACAAATTTACGGGAAATTTCCTCAAAATTCTTAATCGATCCTTTTAGTGAGTAAGAACCAGAGTAAGTTTCATATATTAAGTTAACGATTCAATAAATTATTTATATTGTGATGATAATGAATAATCGAATATAAAGTCTTATTTGGTTTAAATTATAATTCAAAATCAATAATTAATTTTAACAACACATCTTTTAATTATAATTCAAAATCTCGTTGATTAAAAAATAAAAGTTGCAGTAAGTAAAAGAATAATGCTAGTTGTACATAATAAAGTTATATAATAATTTATATATATATGTCAAAAAGAGAGTGAATTTTATTTTTTTATTTGATTGAAGAAATTATAATCCAATTATATCTCGCAATATTATGTACTTATAAATCATTATCTAAATTATTATGCACATGTAGCACAGTCGAAGTAAAAATTGAAGATGTTAAATGAAATTGAAGTATGGCATAAATAAGGGTTAATTTCACAAATGGTCAATCAACTTACATCAAAATAAAAAAACGGTCACTCAAGTTACAAAATTGTACTAACGGTCACTCAAGTATAACCCGGTTTCAAGAATGGTCACTGAAGGACCAAATGAGTTTAACACTGAAACATAAGGACCTACATCGCAAATTTGACAAGAGCCCCTTTTTTCCATTTTTCCGACGGTTTTGCACTGAAATTCCGGCGCCATCCGACCTCCTAAGTCACCGGAAATTAGCACCGGTCGAAAGTACTCATCTTCCTCTTCAATTAGCATCAAACCTCTCCCAATTTCATCAACTTCTGTAATCGGAATCAGTGTTCAAATTTTACTGCCAATAAATCTGAAAATCGCCAATAACCCAACTTCCAGTCAATCCCACGATCGAAACTCACCATTGGACCCTTGCCCATCACTAGACGACCACGTCCATGGCTCCAATTTAACACAAACAACATCAGAAAATTTTAATTTTGCAGCAGATTCCTCGCCGTCGTAAATGTTGCGACACAGACTGCGAAAAACCCAAAATACGGTGCCGTCCGACCAATCCCCGATCCCGGACCACCTGGGCTTTGTTCCTTTTCACCTGGCGCAGCTTTCCCAGTTATGGGTCATGGCCAATTTTGCCATGAGCTCGACGAATTTATGGCAGCAGCTAGAGACATGCGAAAAATTCGGCATTCATAAATTTGATGAATCTATGATGAATCTCTTGATGTTGTTGTGGCAAATTAATCTGATATTAATGTAAGTGAGGCTCATATGGTTATGAGTAACGATCCAATTGATAGAAACAACATTCAATTGAATTCCAATTTCATGCCTCAAGCTTCTAGAGACATGCGAAAAATTCGGCACTCATAAATTTGATGAATCTATGATGAATCTCTTGATGTTGTTGTGGCAAATTAATCTGATATTAATGTAAGTGAGGTTCATATGGTTATGGGTAACGATCCAATTGATAGAAACAACATTCAATTGAATTCCAATTTCATGCCTCAAGCTTCGGTTGTTGAGAATTCTCCAAATGCTAATTTGAGAGGTTGAAGTTTCAAATTTGCGATGTAGGTCCTTATGTTTCAGTGTTAAACTCATTTGGTCCTCCAGTGATCATTCTTGAAATCGGGTGATACTTCAGTGACCGTTAGTGCAATTTTGTAACTTGAGTGATCGTTTTGTTATTTTGATGTAACTTGAGTGATCATTTGTGAAATTAACCCCATAAATAATAAAAAATATTGCGTGAATATAATTATCTTTGATAATTTGAAAATTCATGTTGCCCGTAAACGTCGAACGAGTCTGCCATTTACATTTCCCAATACTTATGTACGTGTATAGCTCTTCTTTACTATTTCTTTCTGTCCAACTTTCTCTCAGTTTGTACGCCGTGCATCAACATCTGCACCTTTCCGCCATGGCCATGGCATTGGCGCCGTCAACGCAAGTCCCACTATTAGAGTCCCATCCAGTCGAGCTCGACACAGAGCTCGAAAAATCCTTGAAAACTCTCGAAAACTTCCTCGGACTAATCGGCTTCCGTCAGTACACTGTCCTCGGCACTGCCTTGTCGTGGCTCGTTTTCATTATACTCGCCGTCGCTCTGCCGGTTCTTTCAATCCAGATTGCGTACTGCTCCAACTGTGAGAAGTACGCGATAAAGAGTTTCGAGCTCGAAATTTTGGTGTCGCACACAATCGTTGCTGCTATATCTCTCCTCTGCATTTCGCGTATACTCCGAAAGTATGGCGTCCGGAAGATGCTGTTTGTTTATCATTGCCATGGACATTTGACGCAATTTCGGAATCTCTGCCTTCAAAAAATTCGCGTAAGATTCAGTGTTATTGATATCTAATCAACACAGCGAAATTTTATGTTAATCACCGAATTTTAATTTTACAATAATTAACACGAAACCGTTTTAGGATTTGGATATTGATTTTCTGATTGATAGCCGTCTTCCTGTTGCCTGTGACTTCTCGTAGAGAAGTGAACTGTAACTTTAATCTGTATATTTAATAATGAAGACTACATGTTCCATCTGTCTGCAAAAGTTGGATTTTTTTTTATTTTTTTTTTGCAATTTACTTGAATTGGAAAGTTTTAATTAACATGAAGGATGCTCATTTCATATATTATTCTGCATGTTAATATCATGTGTATTGGCTTGATATTGTGCCTCATACACGAGGAGTTGTGAGGGAAATTTAGCTCTGGTGGATGATGGAATTACCATTTTCTTTATTCATAGTAATGGTTCTTGTATCATATTCTCTTAGTAAGATTCATTTACATTCATTTTTAAAAGCATACTTTACACGTTTCGTGCTTTTTTAACACAAAGATTAAAGACTTATTGCCGGGATATATACAAGATGGCTCAGACGCAGATCATAATGTTTCTCTTTAACAAGCAATAGATTTTCAACTCTTCTATTTGTTTCCCTTTTTCCCTTTCTCTCCCTAACTTAATAATAATAAAAGGTTTTTCTTTCTCGTGTCTCTCAGTATTTTTTTTCCAAAGTTAGGTTGTGCATAGTGACTTATAAATTGTCAAAATTTCATTTTCAACCACACATTCCAATTGACCCACGAGTACTATCTACTTATCCACCACTCTTTCTATCTATTAATAAATTAAAACATTTATAAATCATTCCCAAACGGAGGCTAACTCATGATTTTTTTCAGGTCTTTTACTGCTTGCTGACTTCGTGGGTTGTTATTTGTCTTATATTAAAGGTGGCACGTGAGATTACTCGCGTGGTTCATCTACACCATGATTCTTGGTGGTGGTCTGCTTTGATGTTGCTCGCTTGCATTATATCGTATACATATGTAACTCTAGTCTTCTTAGCTGGTTGTGCCGTGTTCCACTTGGTGGGAAATTTGCAAGTGATACACTTTGAAAATTATGCAAAACTATTGGAAAGGGATTTGGATGTTTCAGTTTACATCGAAGAGCACATGCGTTTAACCTCTTATTTATCCAAAATAAGCCACAGGTTTAGGGTATTTCTTCTTCTAGAATTCTTGGTTGTTACAGTTAGTCAGTTCATGGCTCTATTGCAGACAACAGGGAACCATGGGATCATCAACTTCATGAATGGTGGTGATTTTGCAGTACGTCTCTTGTTGCCTTCTCAATAGATTGTTAATACAGAGTATTATTTTATGTTTTACCTCCACTAAAATAAATAAGTATGGTAATTTTTACCTGGAAGAGTGGAAGGAGTAGAAAAAACTAGTACTGTCAATGGACCTATGTAATTTGCTTCACTGGATTTCTGAAATCTTGTATAGGTACTTGTTGAATCACCTCATTTATAAACTTAAATTGATGGAGAGGGGATGAATTTTACGCATCTAAATTATGTCTTAGACACGCTCCCACACATGCAAGCAAAATTCATTTTTCCTTCAAATGCCTAGCACTAGACCCTGGCCAGGCTTGAGATTTTTGGGGCCGTAGATAAGGCCTTCTATATACAGTTTATGAGTTCAGCTATATATGTAATATAGAAAGCTTATAATATACCCTATGCAAGGCCCTAGACGGTGGTCAGGGGCCGGGGCAGGCTCTGCCCAATATGCACACAATAAATGGGTGAGAACGAGTCTTGAACTTAGGACTTTTACATACTCTCGTACAATGTTGCATTAACTCGTGTAAAAGCCTTAAACGGTTAGAGATTTGGACCAACTTATTTATTTAAACTATGTTAAATAGTTTTGCCAACTGTTTTTATATGGTTAAAGGTGAGAAATTGCTCAATTTTCAAGCTTTTTAGCCCACAAGGCAATGACAAATTATCCAGAGTAGATAGAAATGTAGTAATGTGCAAGATTGTCAACAATTATTTGGATGAACTTCGGTCTGTCAATCTCTGATCCATCATAGAAGAATTTTAAATGATAATAACTCTATATACAGGTGTTATCTGTTGGTCAGCTTGTTGGGATTGTGCTCTGTCTGAATGCAGCTGCAAAGATATCTCATAGAGCTCAAGGCCTTGGTTCAATTGCTAGTAGATGGCATGCATTGATTAGTTGCAATTCAAATGATGGTTCCTTTTCAGCTGTTTCAGATAGTGCTGGAAATTCTGATGTTCCATATCCCATGCATCCATTATCTGTAAATTATTCAGAAGGTGATTTGGAGTCTAGTGATTACTCGCAATTGCATATGAATTTGCAATTTACATCTTCCATGTCATCATATCAGAAGAGACAAGCCTTCGGTGCGTATACATAAATGTTACTTAATTGTCATTTTTGTGTTTTGTTATCTTCAATAGAGCTTGTTTGCAGTTTCGTGCAACTATGATCAATATATGTAGTTCTAACTGGAGATGGTCGCGAAGTGTGCCATTTTCTTCAATAAAATGATAAAATGGGTAACTTATACTCTTGTTATATTAATCATATAGAAGAAATTGCCTGCTATAACAGCATATTATTGAAAGGCCCAATTCTCGAACTCTGTGATATTAAACTATGTGTTTCTGGAGAAGAATTGGGGATTGGCTGACTGCATATATCAAGTCATGTTTAATGCATGTTTGGTACGTAGTATTAGATTGTACTGGATAGTATAATATCTAGCACCATATAATACATCTTATAAAACAGCCATCAGAGTAAAGGACAATGCAATTTATATTACCACTTTCAAATGTTTTCCGAGTGTTCTCTTCGTACTCTCAATCACGTGTTTATGTCTTCAGTGTGTGAGCATGCATGTCTATGTTTAACAACTTCTGAAACCACGACGGCCTAGAATAGGCATCTGAATTTGTTTCTGTATAGGATGTTTAGAGGTGGTAATCGTTAAGATTTGAGGTTTCATTTTAAAAGGTCAACCTTATTAAAAGGAATAACATACTCCTTTATAAGTTGGTTTATGCTTTCATCTTTTATTTGATGTAGGATTCTATCTCTTAATATGTCCCCGCAAGATGGTGGCTCGTTTGAGCAGACCAATCTTGAAATCTATGTAACAAAGTCAAGGTGACCACTCTTTGTTCATTAAGCACTTGTCTACTGGGGGAGTAAGTGCACTTCTAGTCTATGTGGACGACATCATAGTGACTGGAAACGATGAAAGAGAAAAACACAAATTGAAGCAAAGACTAGAAAAAGAGTTTGAGATAAAAGAATTAGGGAAACTAAAGTACTTCCTTGGTATTGAAGTGGCATATTCTACACAAGGAATCCTCATATCTCAACAAAATTATGTAACTAATTTGTTGACAGAAATCAGGAAGATTGGGTGTAAGCCAGTGTCTACACCAATGGATCCAAATCATAAATTGGGAGAAGCTAAAGAAGAACGAGCTGTTAATAAAAGAATGTACCAAAGGTTGGTTGGTACACTTATATACCTTGTTCACACTCGACCAGATATAGCCTACTCCGTGACGTGATCAGTCAATTCATGCATGATCCTAGAGAACCTCATCTTCAAGCAACGTATAGGGTACTACATTACTTAAAAGGCTGCCCGGGGAAAGAAATTTTGTTCAAAAAGAACAATAATCTAACTCTGGAAGCTTATACCGACGCCGACTATGCAGGCTCCCTAGTAGATAGGAGATCAACTACAGGGTATTGCACTTTTCTTAGAGGTAATTTAGTAACATGGAGAAGCAAGAAACAGAATGTGGTGGCAATGTCATCTGCAGAATCAGAATTTAGGGCTATTGCTCAAGGATTGTGCGAACTACTTTGGCTAAAGATCATCCTAGATGATTTAAAAATCAAATGGGAAAGCCCTATGAAGCTTTATTGTGATAACAAGTCAGTTATTAGTATTGCTCATAATCTTATACAACACGATAGGACAAAACATATTGAAATTGATAGGCATTTGATTAAAGAAAAATTGGAGGAAGGATTGATGTGTATGTCCTATGTTCCTTCAGGACAACAATTAGCTGTTGTTCTAACAAAAGGGCATGACAGTTCGAGTTTCCATGATTTTGTATTCAAGCTAGGAATGGAAGATATTTATTCCTCAGCTTGAGGGGGAGTGTTGAGTTGTAAAAAAGGATGTACATGGTTGATAGTTTTGGAAAATAATATGGAACTCAATCCTTTATAAGTTGGATTATGTTTTATTCTTTTATTCGATGTGAGATTCTATCCCTTAATATGCTCCCACAAGATGATGACTCGTTTGAGCAAACCAATCTTGAAATTCGTGTGCGCATTTTTTTGAGTTTTAATCGGATCGTATTGCTCGTTAGAGTTTAATGAGCTTTGATACCATGTTAAGATTTAAAATTCAATTTTAAAAGTTCAACCTTATCAAGATGAGTAATCAAATCCTTTACAAATTTGTTTATGTTTTCATCTTTTATTCGATGTGAGATTCTATCCCTTAACAGTAATTTTGAGTTAAGGGTAGAAGTTCTTTTCGTCTCAAAATTGACTTCGTTTTTTGCTTGATGATTTAAGAATCTTTTATCTCTATTGTATTGTGCATCTATAATGCCGTCTTACTCGAGTTTTCTTGGTTTGCAGTTACTTATGTGCAGTCGAATACTGGCGGATTCACTATCTTTGGATGGATGGTTGATCGTGTGCTCATCAACATGATTTTCTTCATTGAGCTTTCACTGGTTTTCTTTGTCCTTGGGAAGACTATCACAATCACAACTAGATGACAAAATGCACCCACCCCCATCCCCTCTCTCTGAATGGGGCAGCTAAAATAGTATGATCACTATTAATAGCTGTGTGTTGTAACATTTACGACTTTGCATAAAGCAACATAGTTTTAACTGATGCTCTTATCTAACATCTCACAGATGGATTTTTATGTAAGACTGATCTATAAACATGTTACTGTTTGCTAATGATCCAACTGTACTCGACTAAATGGTCTCTTTTTCTTGTGCAAAGACCCCTTGCGTCAAGGTTTGCTGTGCACTTTTGCAAATTAAATATGTTGTTTGGCCTTTAAATTTGATGGACCTTCAGTTGCTGTGGAAATAAGCACGGCAAAAAGCTTCTTTCTAGGTAAATGTATTTTACTTTCATTGTTGCACGTCTGTATTTTGCTAATGTGCTGTTCAATTGATAGCCACAAATTCAGCTACATGATACTCGGTAAGCAGTAAGCTTGAAATGGTAGAAAGATGCAAGGCCCATTAATGGTCCACGTGCAAGGGCCTATCGGGCTTGAATGGGGCAGCAGGCCCAACAATTTTTCAAATTTTAGGTTGGATAAAGTCACTAAGCTAGGCACCTCACCTCTCTTTCCTACCCTATAGTGCAAGTCTTGTTACCGACTATATAAATCTCTTCTATAGTAGTCAACATGCAAAAATCCCATCAAGATGGATTGAAGATCCTCCAGTGGTTCGAATCAGCCTGAATGAAGAGTTGGCAAACACCTTTTGGTGTTGACGTGCTTCCTTAGTTACCTTAGTTACGAGAATTTCTTGGATAATCGTATTCCATCCACCCTTATTTCATGGATAATCATTAGGATTCCTCTCGCTATGCAAAGTTAATTAAAAAAGGCCCATACAAGCCATGTGTTAATTCAGCTCGACTCCACTTTATTCATCTAGTCAATTCACCACATAATTCATGATGTTGAATAATTCGGGTCCAATTTATCTATAGTTAGAGAGGATTTGTGTCTTCTACTATAACTTATTGATGTGCAAGCACATAGATCACCGATGCTTAGGATTTAGGTGGTACAGTGACATACGTTAAGCCCTTGTTTGATAATAATCGTTTCAAAACTTTTTTTTACGTACTCATTTTTAATCAAACATTCACACAAAAATTTTCTTTACTTTTTTACCACATATTTTCCTAAAATCACTATTCAAAATATCGTTTTGGCCAAATAATGATAATCAAACATATAGTTCCTTTGTCCCTATGTGAAGATTTTTTGTAGTAATTTTTTGAAAATTTGCATCATTAAAAGTAGAAAATAAGTTATAAGAAAATATGAAAATTAATTTTTTTTATTTTTGTGATTGAGAATGAGAGTGGAGGAGAGAGTGACTTTGGAGAAAAAAACTGGTTTCAAACAAGAGCTTTATCTTTTGGTGTGTTTAAAGAAAGATGCAACATTAATTAGAAATTGTTTGGGAGGGATTAAAATCAAATTAAAATTGAAAATATAGCCGTTAGAGTTGACTTTTATTAGACGAGTGAGACCCAATAACAGCTATATTTTCAATTTTAATCTTTCCCAAACAAGCTCTTAGTAAAAAAATCATGTTAAAATTTGCTTATCTTCTTGAAAGGGAAAATTGTATTAAGGGTCGTTAATTTTATTTTTCATATAACAAGTTGGTCTTCAATTTTAAAAAGTAGTAAATTGGTCTCAACTTTCAATTCTAATTGAAATCATTCTCCAATAGTGAAAATGGTCTAATGACTAATGGTTTTTAAATTATATGAAGTTAAATTTAAATTTCTAATTTCGACTAGTACTTCAAATTTTGAAGTGAAGCATATTTTCAACGAAATATTTATCGATTTCCATCTTTTGAATACTGATGGTGCAATCTCCCTTATAATAACTTATTACTTATAAGTAACATTTTTGGGCTAAGTTCGGACTTATGGTTTCTAAATTGTTATCCCACCAATATATTTTTGACATTTGACTTGTCACTTTTTCATATCAAATGAGAAGATGCAAAAGTGTAATGCAAAAGGCATCAAAATTGGTGTCTAGCATCTTCTCGTTTGTTACAAAGAGGTGATGTATCGAGATGTCAACGATCAAAAGAACAATAATCTCGTGACAACATATCTAGACTCCTTTAAGCTTAGCCAAACATTCCATATGACATCGGAGCTTTACTATCCTAGCAAACTGCAACTCCCGAGGTAGGCACAACGTTCAAAATCAATCCACAAAATTCAATCCATTATCCCATGCAGCTGCATACGCACATAATTCCATGCATTCTCTATTCTTAGGGATAAAACTTTCTGTACCTATCTCTAACTTGATAATATCGAATAAAAATAAAAATTAATATTAAAAATTTGAATTACTTTGTTTTAATAAGATTGACCTTTTAAAATGAAATTTCAAATTTTAACATTGTATCAGAATCCATTAAATTTCAACGAATAATTTGATCCGATGAAAACTGAAAAATGAGAACATAAATTTCAAAGTTAATATGCATCATGCATTAACAAAAGAGTCACTGCTTTATCGAAACATGTTAAGAAATAAAATTTTATGTTGAATAAAAATGAAGATATTGATCAAACTTTTAAACGTTTGGACTTGGTGTAACTCCCCCACCCCCACCCCTACCCCTATATATATTTCTTCATTCTTCAACCATTTTTCTCCACATACAAATCCCATACTTCAACTTTCTTGAAAAAAGAACAATAATATCAACAAAATGGTGGGTTTTGAAACCTTTCTTGAACCCTCTTCTGCAGAGAGAAAAACTGGCATGGCATATGATGTGCCCGAGGGAGTGGACATTAGGGGCAAATATGATGCAGAATTTGCAAAGATTTTGACCAGGGATGCTCTGCAATTTGTGGCTGATTTGCAGAGGGAATTTAGGAACCATATTAAGTATGCTTTGGAGTGCAGAAAGGAGGCTAAGATGAGATACAATAATGGGGGATTGCCGGGGTTTGATCCGGCCACCAAATACATAAGGGAAGAGGAATGGGTTTGTGCCGCTGTGCGGCCGGCGGTGGCTGATCGAAGGGTGGAAATTACTGGGCCGGTGGAGAGGAAGATGATCATCAATGCTCTCAATTCTGGAGCCAAAGTTTTCATGGTGAGTAGAAAGACAGAATTTACTAATCAGTGTAAATTTTGCTAATCCCAAAATTCTTACTTATAAGTAAATAAATAAGTTCAAAATATTTTATTTGTCAGAATTCTAGACAAGTAAGTTGACTTACTTTTTTAGGCCAAGCTAAAAGCATGCTCTCATGAATTCTTTTTGTTGATCTGTGTGGGTTGTCTTTGTTGGTGGTGTGTGGTTGTTGTGTTGTTTGGTTGTGTGGTCCCTTTTTGTTGTTTTGTTTGTGTGTTTGTTTGGTTGATGCGAAGTCTAGACAAAGCCCGTTACTTCGTGTGCGGGGGGGCGTAAGTGCTGATTGCGTAGTTGGCTTTCAGTCGGGTTTTTCTTGCACTGTAAAGTCACAGATGTTTTATGACTTGTATTAGCTGTGTCTGTTGTTGGGTCGAGTCTTGTTTGCGTGGTCTAGTTTGTATGTTGTTGCGTCCTGTATAGTTTGTGGTTTTACTGCGCTTGGATAGCACTTTATCTCTCTTAGGAGGG